ATTTTTTATACATACCAGGACAACAATAGACATAAACCTATACTAATAAAATAATAATGTTGTTAAATAATATTTTTTATACTTTTTGCTGAAATTGTTTTACTGACAGTATTACATGAGACTGATAATCACATACTGTGCAGATGCCCTCCTCAACATAGTTTCACGCGATCAAGCTCAACATCTTTCACCAATAGTGACAGAACTGCCCATCCCTCCCTATAACCCTTTAGCTCCTACGTTGGTTTTTTGAACCCATGCCTCAACATACACATCTACACCGAGGAAGTGGTGAGCAGACCATTATGCTGCCTTGAAATGGGTCATGTTTACCGTCAACACACCCCAAAGTTCCGTGAACATGACCACACATGTCATAACCACAAACTCACAAGTTCCATTTGAAGGCAGAATCATCAGACGTGTGTCAGTCAGCAGCGGGAAGGATGAAGGTCGCTGTGTTATATCTCAGCCTTTGTGAGAAGCATGTTTTCCTCTCTGTGCTTTGACTTAACAGTAGATCTCACAAGAAGTTTTATTGACTCAATCTCAGCAAGTCTAAAATAACTCCTGAATCTTCTCTTCTCTCTCTGCTGTGTGTTTTCATCTGACACCAGAAAAAGTAAACAGGTCTTTATGCATGGTTGTCTTTAACTGTTTGGCTCAAGTAAAATAAAAAAACTTTATTTTAAATTCAGGTTTTCAGTGGGGTAGGGAGGCCAAAGTCACAAACCTCTGACAATTGAGGTGTTAAAGAACAAGAGATTAAGAAAGAAGCTGTGGCTCCACGGCTTTACATTACAAGTTTTTAGTTTATCATATTGTCTTTGTAAGTTGCAGAAAAGATGTTGATCTTTCAAAGCTATAATTGGTGTTTGCTAAAAAAAATTTTAGTTTAGGAGCTATGCCCTTCCAAATTGAAGGTTTTACAGCTTTTAGCAGACTTTTCCAGTTTTTTATTTATCTCTATAAGCACAAAAAAGGCACCAAAATGTAGCCACATGCCTTTTCTCCCTAAAAATGTCAAAATCCTGGTCAGTGGATGTTTAGTTTTTTATCTCTGATCCTTAATTGATTGGAAAGTCTCAGTCATCTCCCATTCCCTCTCTGTTGTAGCTGCAGGCTGAGGCTGATCACTAATTCTTTAACTTGCTGTATCTTCCTCCCTGTTTGGAGTTTGGACACAAGAGGTATATTTTCATGCTCAGCTACTCTAGCACAAACTAAAAAGTCCAAAATGTTGGCTGTAAAGCTTTTTCTATTAAGCAAATACACTTTTTGTATCAACACATCTAATTGCTATGGTGTTTGAACTTGATTACAAACTAAATATGGTTAACAAATTCTCGTCTAATGTTAGTTCATTATAGCTTTAAACTTTACACAGCTGTTTGTTGTTGGAACTTAATGATGCTAATTTATTCTGCCATTTTTTGGCATCTACTCTCTCCGTACCGTTTGTCCTACAAACTTGGTTTCAACTTCAAATTGTACATCTTCTTCATGAGATGGGTGCATCACCTGTGTAGCTATATCTGTAATGGTTGATTTTGTATTTTATTTTTATGCATTTAAAATGAATGGGAGCTGCACATTGCACCGACATGTGTAGCAATCGCTAAAAATAGCTGGCAGCTCTCACACGCATATTCTTAAGGAAATGCCCATTCTATAGTTCAAAATAACATCCGTAGTGAAACAAGGAAACAACAAGATGTAAAGGTGACAAGCTTGCTGAGTGTCCACACAAGTGCTCCTGCTTGTTCACGTCAACAAAGTCATGTAAAGTTTGCTAGAGGTGCATTTATGATTAAAGTCTCACTTTGGCACCATGTGTCTGTTTCTTGCAGCCGCTCTGAGCGTCCTTCCCAACAGATCCCAGTTCTTTCAGTACGAGTCTGTCTCTCTGAGCTGTGGGCAGCAGGGAATTTCTTCTGAGTGGAGCGTTAAGAGGAACATATCCAAAGACAAATGAAGAGTGTCTCAAATTCTGGCGAAGAAAAGATGAATCACACTGCTTCACAGTTGACCTTTACCCTACAGACACTGGAGTGTACTGGTGTGAGTTTGCAGCAGGAGAGCGCAGTGAAGCCGTCAGCATCACAGTGACCAGTGGGTTTAAACATTTTCCTCCATACGACTTTCTGTGAAGCGACACAAAAGGGTTGTTGTCACCGTAACTGACCAAGGCTTATAGTTTCTGACAGGCAATTTGACAATTCTCAAATGCTGGTTGGGGCACCTAGTTCAAGAAATACAATCTGTTGTACAGTCAAAAGTTTCTAACAACATTATTTTTTATATTTTCGCAACAAGCAGCTTCTTGTGGTGTACCAGACTGTCTTTTCTAAGTAGCATTTGATGGACAGAGCATGATGTTATGAGGCCACAGAAGTCTCAACCTGCCTCATGTTGAGTTATGAAATTATTGTATGGATACAACACTGTGCCTTGAATAATTGTGTTTGTATGTCCCACAGTGGACGGCATCAACTGATCCAAGTCAAAAATTACACTGGCAAGAAACAATGTTATAAATGATCATGTGTAGATTTCTTAAAGCTTTGTGAGCTCAAAACTTCCTTGTATTTCTGTCTGTCCCTGAGGTGGCACTGTGATCCTGGAGATTCCTGTCCTTCCTGTGATGGAGGGAGACGATGTGACTCTGAGCTGCAGAAACAAGAACATCTCCAACCTCATAGCTGATTTCTATAAAGATGGGCGTCTCATCAGGAGCAGCTCTACAGGAAACATGACCATCCACAGTGTCTCTAAATCTGATGAAGGACTCTACAAGTGCAAATTCTCTGGAGCTGGATCACCAGACAGCTGGCTGATTGTCAGAGGTGAGATAATAAGTTTCATCTGCTTACAAACAACTGTTTTATTTTCCAACTTCAGGCGATGTAATGTGCAGTAAATATGCACAATATACCCCAAAATGTACCGCTAGTTTGTTACATATCTGAGTTTAGATACCTTTTATTTCAGCATACAGTATTTATGGAAATCATTCAGCACTATTATTATGAATACTTAAACAATTGTGAAAGATATCGGCATATACACCATGTAGGATTATATGTTTGCAGGAGAAAAGCTTACCTTCTATAGTATTGCATGTTTTTCCACCTTTCATCAGATTCTACAGCCGTGCACCTGCTTGGTGCTATTTTGTAAATATCACTGTGAAACTGATTTTCACTCTGTGATCAGAGGTTTATCTTGCATTTGGACTATTTACGCTGGTTTGGGGAATTCAAGAAGTTTAAAATTGGGACATGGCAGCCACGTCATACTTACAGCCTCCATCCTTAAAGTCTTAACATATGTATGTCATTTGATCGGTTTTAACTTGTAGACTGAAATAAAACTCAGTAATCTCCCTGCAGAGCCAGCAGCTCCTGTAACGTCTGCCTGCAGTCTGATCCATCATGTAGTCGTAGCGAGTCTTTACCTGCTGTTCACCATCGTCCTGGGACACATAATAGACAGAAGAAAGAACAAAAGAGGTGAAAACTAACTCTGATGGTTTTGTTTTGGATGTCCAAAGTTTCTGTTTCATTCATTCTTCTTCTCTCTTTTTCCTTCTTTGTGTTTCTTCTTCAAGCAGCACATCAGCTTGTTGCAGAGGACAGAAACCATCATGTCGTTATGGAGGTGGAATAGATTGGACCACACACAGATATAATAATGTTTATACATGTGTCTGTATTATGTTTCACACGTGTTTATTTCATTTCATGCTCATAAAAGAATAAATGCTTTTCTGTGTAAAGAAGTAGCCTGTGACAAACTGACTGGCAATTGTATTCATATTGCACATTTGATTACAGTTTGACTGACTGCTCTGTACATTAAAGTGCACACAGCAACAAGTAAACATATTATAATAATTGATATACAACAAACACAGACAACCACCCACTTTTCACACAACCATCCCACAGACACACAAACACACAATACTAATCACAAGCCTGAGAAAACAGACATGTGGACACAGCTGTGACAGAACTCAGATTATCAGATTATTATTATTAGCTGGTTGGTTCCAGAGAAGCAACAAGAGAAGCTAAAAGCACCTTCAGCAGATCTGGAACCAGTTAGAAAACCACCACCTGTCAGACATATACTGGGCAGCCAAACCATTAAGTTTTTTTTATTGTGTTTTTATTATGGTTTCATTTTCATGCATAATTAAACACACCAGAGAGAGAGAAAACATCAGCTCATCAATACAAAATCAATAATTGTATTCAGCACATGTGAAAAAGAAAAAAATAAACAAATAAATAAACTTTTCATGGCTCAGATGTACACTTAATGAACTACACCCTCAACACACCCAGAACTGGTAAATTTAATGTAACTTTCATTTAATCGTATTTGTTTATTTGACACAGGCAGTGCTCATATCGGCAAAGTAGCTCTAAATGAGCCAGAGTTAGCTCGACAGGCTAAGTTGTCCCTGGCCAGTTACTAAAAAGGCAACCTAAAAAAAGAATTATAATTCAATATTAAATTATAATTCATATGACTTATTACAGTCAGCACATAAAAGCTATGTACAGCCTACAGAATAATAAACAGGTATTGTGCATAACAATAACTAGGCCTACCCTGCGAGACAGTGTTTTCAGGTAACTTGGACAGGAATAGATTTTTCCTGTATGACAGGAATCTCCCATTCCCAGCTGCATTTGAATGTAGCATTAGCCCGTCTAAAGAGCTGTCCGTGGTGCTGAAACCCAGAAACCCCTGAACGTCTTCTCCGCCCTCATTAAATATTCAGATTTTCCGTCTCGTGCCGTCACGTGGGATCACGTGAACCCATCATCATTTATATTATTAATCTCTAAAAAGCACCACGAGAGCACGACGAGAGCGTGCTCTGGCTGTGACGCGAGGAGGCTCGAGTGTGGCGGAGGGCGACGTGATAACGTCACAGAAAACGTGACGCCACGCTCTCAGCCGAAGATCGTTTGTGTTCGAAAGACCACTGTTACCACGGCAACACCAGAGAAACAGCCAGCTTAGAGCCGCCCGGCGAGACTGTTTTCAGGTAACATGAAGTGTTTTAACACAAATATATGAGACAGAGAGAAACAAAGCTGCTATGTTAGACAAAAAATAAATAAAGTAGGAAGCTGTCAGGAACTATAATCATCTTCTGAAACCTCAATGTGTTGACAGCCTCAGTTTTCTTTGCGGTATATTAGGAGATTACAGAACAATAGATCAATTTAGATTCAAATTTAAAAGGGAAAAATACAAACTGACATTATAAACACAAGACAATATAACGTATATATAACAGCTACACTATATTAATAATGTAATAATGTAATGTCGGCTACATTACACTGTTTTACAGGTAGTGGTTGAAGAAGTAGTCCTGCAAGTCATGCATTTAAACAGTAGACTAGGCTACTTAAAAGTAAAAGTAGCCTAGTCTACTCATAGTGCGGTAAAATGTTCCCTGTCAGTGTTTCACTCTTGTATCTGATGTTTCTGGATCAATATTCCTGCCGCATTACATATGCCTGGCCTATGTTACATTTTGCTGCTGTAGATGTTTAAGGTTGAGCTATTAACTCATTTGTCCTGCTGGGTAGTTTAATCTATAGAAATGCATCATGGTCTATAAAATCATCAAGTGTTTATAGCGCCGCTGTCCTGTGAGAACTGTAAATCTCTGAAAGTCAAAATTTATTTTTATTTATCTTAAGAAAGAGGAACAGGAACTCTTCATCCTTCAGTTTATCAGAAACATGCACTTTTAATTTTTGAAGTAGGCCTGCTCAAATAAAGAAGCCTAGAAGTAGCCTACCTTTCAAATTATAGGCAGCTTACATCGACATGTGGAGTGAAAAAGTTGGATCGATGGCAACAATGAACAGTTCAACCACAGACTGTAGAGTTCAACCAGCAGCTTTTTATGGTTAATGCCATGGGAAATAACAAACTGTTATTATTAGCCTAAACGCTGTTATTTTAGTTTGCTATACTGATCAAAATGATCTTCTCCTTTTTCTTCTATAGTACAGTAGGCTTACTGAGTCCACCACTTTCTGCGTTCTTCCTCCGATGTTCCTGCAGGCTGCAGACTTGTTTACCATTTGGGGGATCCATCTCATCATAACTAGACGATCTTTGTCTCCCCTCTCCCTCTCTCTCTCTTCCTCTCTCTCCCTCCCTCTCTCTCCCTCTCTCTCTCTCTCTTCCTCTCTCTCCCTCCCTCTCTCTCCCTCCCTCTCTCTATCTCTCTCTCTCTCTCTCTCTCTCTCTCAGACTGAAAATAGATCCAGCTGGGTTTGGTCTGGCCACCATCGGCTTCACCACTTTGACCAAAATAAAGGGACAAGATCGACGCCTGGCGACCGTTAACCGGAGGATTTACCGCCGTTTTTTGGTGTCTCAACAGCCTACATATACTTAAAAAAAATCTTATTTAGCCTAGGCTATATATTTTTGTTTTTCTTCCCGACCGAAGTGATGTCTGTCGCGGGGTTGAAGAAGCAGTTCCATAAAGCCACCCAGGTAAGGAGAGACCGTGCAGTCTGTCTGTTTATGTCTGTGTTGGCTGTCTCATTCACATTTCATACATAATCTCTTCTTCTGATGCTTCATTTCGCGGGGAAACCGTTAGATTGATGGCGCATGATGTGAAGTAAACATTGCATTTTTAAATGCACTAATATCACTAGAAAACGTGATTTTATCTTTAATAAACGCATTAAATTCTGCTTTTATTCTTCCATTTAAAGCGCCATTTGCACATGCAAATTGGAGATATATATTTATGTTCAGATTTTAATTGAAATTAAGCTGTTTAAATCACATTAAACATAAATGTAACGGGGATTTCTGGAAAGAATACAGGCTGTTGTCTCGCGGTGTTTTAGTGCGGGTTTGCGTGCAAAAGCGGGGTATACCCCCCTCACACACACCCACGCACACGCACGCACGCACACACACACATGTATTATGTAACGGTATGAGTTGAAAGTGTGTGTGTGTGTGTGTGTGTCTGAAGAGCTGATTGGCTGTCTGCACACAGCAGGGAATTCCCTCCATCCTCCTTTTTACATCCCTCTGTTTATCTTTATCTTCCCGACATCCCTCCATCACCACCCTTAGGCTATGTCCTTTCCACCTCCCCATCTTCCTTATTCCTGTAACTGTAGGCTACACATCCATCCCTCCATCATCCCTCCATCGTTATGGCGCTCTGCCTTCCCTCTAAACTTTCTTCCATCCCTTCATCTTCTTTTATGAGGCATTTGAACATGCTTCCATCTCTTTTCATTCATCCACCATTCTTGTAACCAGTCCTTCATCCTTCCATCATCCGCCTCTCCATCTTCTTCTATCATCCTTCTATACACGCATCCCTACATCTGTCTTTTCTCATTTCCCTCCATCCGGCTAACTTCTTTTATGGTTCCTCCACCTTCCTCACATGCCGCCGTCTATCTTCATCCATCCGTTATTCTTCTAAGTAGTCCATCTCCATTTTCCTTCTTTTCGTTCTGTAGTCATCCCTCCATCATCTTCTTTATTGTCCTCTGTTTACGTTACTTCCTTCCCTCCATCTGTACATCCTTTCTGTCAGCCCTTCATCTTCCTTTTCCACCTGTAGTCATCCCTCCACTAATTCCCTCTAAATATTCCTCCATCCTCCTCTACATCATCGTCATCAGCATCAGTCTGTCCTCCTTTCTTTTCATCTCTCCATCCTTACTTCATCTTCTTTTTGATGCTTCTAAATATCCCTCATCCTGTCTCTTCATCCATCCAATATTTTAGTAACCACCTGTCTTTCCCTCTGTAGTCATCCCTCCATTATCTGTCCATCTCACATTTCTTCTACCCTTTCATATTCCTGTAACATAATTTCAAACCTCCATTCCTCTGTCAATTATTCCTTCATCTTCTGTACATCCCTGTTTTTTCATCTTGTCTTTCCTTCCACTCTTTTGTCATCCCTCTAAACATCTCTCCATCATCCATTCATCCTATTTTATGATGCCATCCCTCTTCTCTACATCCCTACATCCATCTTTAGTTGTCTTGCCTTTTCATCCATTCATCAGCCCTCCATCTTCCTTTTTCTGTCTTCTATTCACCCTGTGGTCATCCCTACATCATAAACACCCCTCTATCCTCCCTTTCTCTTCTTTTACACCTCTTTTATTATGCCTCTTAACATCCCTCCATCATCCCTGTAAACACCCCGCTGTCGTCCCTCATTCACATCCCTCCATCACTCTTGAATGCCACTCCTCCATCTTTCTTTTCCTGAAATCACACCATCCTCTCTGGTTGCTCATAACATCCCTCCATCCCTTTTTATAATCCTTCTAATTGCCTTCTCATCCCTTCATCTCTTTATGGCGCCTTTCTGTTTCTCAATTTTTTTCTTTAAGTGGTCCTTTCCTTCCTCCCTTATCCCTTCCATCTTCCTTTTTCTCCATGGTCATCTTTCTTGTTCATCATTCCTTCATCATTTTTACATCCCCCATCTTTCTTTTAAGCCTGCCAGTCATTCATCTGTCTTCTCTCTAAGCATATTTCCCCCCACTCTGTCATCCCTTCATCACCTTTCCACAAATATTATAATCACTTTCATCACTTTATTTTCCATTTTCCTTTTAGTCATCCCTCCATCATCCTTTGAGACGATCTTCCATCATCCTTTTCCTTTAACCCTCTTTACATCCTTCCATCCTTCCTCCCTCCTGTCTTTATTTTCATCTTTCATCCATTTGTAAACATCTGTCCACCCTTTATCTTTTCTGTTGGAGCATCCAGCCTCACCCATGTTGCTTTCATCTCACCATTACCCCTGTAAACATCCTTCCATCTTTCCATCGACCCTCCATCACCTATCCTTCTATCATCCTTCATCCTGCATCAAACTTTGACATTTAGCAGCCCGTCCTCACCAGACAAACAGCCCTAAAGGTCGATTATGCAGAAGCTTATTATGACCCATATTTACATTTTTAGCCAGGAAGAAGTCAGGTGACGTAGAGCGAATAAGTCTGTGTCAGGAGGTGGTGACCTGGTTTTAACTGCCTATTACTGTCCTTTCATAATGTCAAATTTCTGAATGAACGTAACAACAAAAGTGCGGGTATGAAATTCAAAAGCAGCATCTTTGAAACATCACACACTTTCTTTTGTACCAATCAACATGACGCTGACCTTTTCCTTTCAGAATAAAACAATAGACGCTGACATGAGCGAAAACAGAAAAGTGATTCATGAGTAATGCCTTTGACCTTTTTATCCTCTCTGCTGTTGGCTGCTCGCTGATGTTGAGCGTGAATGCGAGATGAAGGCAGATTTTAGAGTTTAACGTGACAGACAGAAAGACAGACAGCGGCTGTGTGAGACTGACCTGACGTCTGTTCACTCCACCCAAACACATTACACCACCTCCTCCTGTCACAGCTGTCGACTGTAAATACAGTCTGCAAACCTTTTTGTCTACAGCCACGTGTGTGAAATCAGTGGAGTGACCCTTTAAAATTACTGCTGCAACTAATAATGCTGCGACTGCTTCATAGTTTATACTATGGCTACTAAAGTTAACACTTAAAAATGATGTAAAACCTGAAAGCATAAAAGCTTATTGATTTAAAAACATTAGTTGAAGAAATTGGTGTTTATGAAGACTTGCAGAGAGAGTTAGCTGCATGGACACAGTTTTGGATGTGCAAACCCGTTGGCTCTGTAGGTGAACTTTAATGTCAGATATCTTCATCTGAGCATAGATCTGTTCACCACTGCTACACAGTCTAATTCTAATTCCTGCTGCGACTTCAGTCAATGATATTCTCATTTATGGACATCTTATTCCACTAGAAATTAATAAGAGGCATGAATGTTAAAGAATTTGACACTGTTGTGACCTGGCTCAAAAGGCCACAACAAAATCAGAATCAGAAGGAGCTTTATTGCCAAGTAGTGTTTTACACATATGAGGAATTTGCTTTGATGATGAGGTGCTACACGTAGACAAACATGACAGATATAAATGTAGAAATGTAGAAATATGGAATAAACAAAAGCTATTATCTAAGAATAATAAAAGAATAGACAAAAATATTAAAAGTATTTGCAGAGAAAGAACAATGTGGCAGATATATGCATTACTCTGGTTTGTGTTGTGCAGACGTATTGCATAGGAAGAGAATATTATGTACATGAGTATATAAATATAAAATAAAAAACAACAACGATTAACAATTAACAAGAAATATGTGCAGTATGCCAGGTTTGTGCAGAGACATTTGTGTTATTTTTAAGGGGGGGAGTGTCAGTGGGGGAGCTGGGCCTCGTTTATGAGGCTAGCTGCAGACGGGAAGAAGCTGTTTTTGTGGTGAGAGGTTTTGGTCCTGATGGATCGCAGCCTCTTGCTAGAGGGGAGATTCTGAAACAGTTTGTGTCCAGGGTGGGAGGCGTCAAAGTGATGGAAGATTGCAGCCAATCACCTTCTCTGCAGAGCGAATGATACGCTGCAGCCTGCCCTTGTCCCTGGCAGTGGCAGCAGCGTACCAGATGGTGATGGAGGAGGTGAGGATGGTCTCAATGATGGCGGTGTAGAAGTGCGCCATCATTGTCTTTGGCAGGCTGAACTTCTTCAGCTGCCACAGGAAGTACATCCTCTGCTGGGCCTTTTTGATGATGGAGGTGATGTTCAGCTCCCACTTGAGGTCCTGGGAGATGATGGTGCCCAGGAAACGGAAAGAGTCCACAGTGGCGACTGGCGAGTCACACAGAATGATGGGGGAGGGTGGGGCTATGCTATTTCTGAAGTCCACAACCATCTCCACTGTCTTCAGAGTGATGAGCTCCAGACTGTTCTGGCTGCACCAGGTCACCAGATGGTCGATCTCCCACCTGTAGACGGACTCATCCCCACCAGAGATGAGCCCAATGAGGGTGGTGTCGTCTGCAAACTTCAGGAGCTTGACAGACTGGTGACTGGAGGTGCAGCTGCTGGTGTACGCAGAGAGACTACCTTGAGGAAGAGAACGTAGCCTTGAGGGGAACCGGTGGTGATGGTTCTGTAGTTAGAGAGATGTGTTCGCATCTTCACGTGCTGCTTCCTGTCTGTCACAAAGTCAGTGATCCACCTGCAGGTGGAGTCAGGCACGTTCAGCTGGGAGAGCTTGTCCTGCAACAGGGCCAGGATGATGGTATTGACAGAAGAGCTGAAATCCACAAACAGGATCCTGCTGTAGGTTCCTGGGGAGTCCAGGTGCCGGAGGATGTAGTGAAGGGCCATGTTTACTGCGTCGTCTACAGACCTGTTGTAGGCTCTGTAGGCAAACTGCAGGGGGTCCAGGAGTCGGTCTGTGATTGTTTTTTAGTTGGGACTCAAAGGACTTCATAACCACAGAGGTCAGGGCAACTGGTCTGAAGTAATTTAGTCCAGTGGTCCTTGGTTTTCTGGGGACAGGGATGATGGTGGAGGCTTTGAAGCAGCCTTAAAGATGTCTGTGAACACCGGAGACAGCTGATCAGCA